TTCAAAAAAGCTCTTCAACCTACACTTCTACATATTTCAGTTTTAACCCAAGTGGACGTAACATCAGAATCGACTAGTATGCCGACACGTCGGAAATGTCGAAATTTTGGCCGTCCAGTCGGAATTCCGACTAGTCGGAATTGCAGTAGTCTCTTGTTTCGACTGTGTATTACAATCAATGTTGCTCATGTTTGATGTTAATTCGTTTGTTTTTGGCCTTGTTCTATCTGCAATTACGTTCATATACTTGAAAGTCAATATAAATCAATAAATCCCAATTATAATACGCTTCCAATAATAAATAGAATAATATACTAAACGAGGAGTTCGCCTATTGTGATGATATAACTTTCACAATAGTTACCGCTGTCACCAGTTGTTTTAGCTTATGTTCCATCAATGTTTTAAGCAAATTATTGGATAAGTCGATTGTTGAGACAGATTGTGTATTTAATATTGTTGTTGAAGAGGGAATTGCTTGTTCCAAATTGTTGTTGTTGTACGATGGAGACAAGAAACTTATCACGTCATTATCTCCTAAAGAAAGATTAAATTAGCAAAAATAACTATAGCTATTGCATAAAATTATGTTTTTAATTAACCAGTCAAATTTTACAGAAAAGTCGTTTTCTGTAATAGAGAAACTTTAGTATACCATTGAAGAGCGCTTAAAAAACTGCGCGTGTTTGTGTTAGGAAGTGAATACGTTCACTCCCTAAGTTAAAGGTCATTCTGTTTTAACTGTTTCATCATGTATTTCGTTTATCTCTTTTCGTTCCCTTTTTATGTGTCATCATACATATGATCTCTGTCTCTTTGTCCATTTAATCATATATATGATCTCTTTCTTTTTTGTCTATTTCGTCATACATATGATCTCGTTCGATTTTTGCGATATCATATGGTAGTTATCTATTTCATCAGACCAATGGTCTTGTACGCTGTTCTAGGTAATATTTCATCATTCATAGGATTTCAATCTCTTTTCATTACGTCATAGGTTTCCAGATAATCTTAGTCACCAGTGGTTAGGTCGGGCGCTGTCATCAGGTGAAAATCCCTTTCACCAATTGAAAAGTCTAAGTTGATCGAGCAAATAAAACTTTATTTGTATTCAACAAAAACCATGAAAAGAGATTGATATGACATTGATTGTAATACACAGTCGAAACAAGAGACTACTGCAATTGAGGATGAACGTGGATATATTGATAAATCCACAATCACTTTATTTCGGACAACATCGATCTTAGATGAGGATAAAATACGATCAGATGATAAAGTTACGTTAACTTCAATTTTAAGTAAGCCACACATACCAAATGTATTAGAGAGAATTCAGGATTTTCATGGTACAAAGCAAGAAGATGTGGTAGCATGGATCGACCAACTGGAAGTTGCACTAGATTTAACTGACCATGCACAAGGTAAATGGAGTAAATTAGCTGCATGGTATTTAAAGGGTGAAGCATTAAGTTGGTATATTAAGAATAAAAACCAAGTTTATGACTGGGATTCATTTAGACAAATGACAGTCGAGAAATATCCAACATGTATTAATCATCGTAATGATTTAATTAAACTGGAACAAGCAATTCCCTCTTCAACAACAATATTAAATACACAATCTGTCTCAACAATCGACTTATCAAATAATTTGCTTAAAACATTGATGGAACATAAGGTAAAACAGTTACCTATATTTAGTGGAAAGATAATGAAAATGTTACATTAATCATATACTGAGATTCTGAACTCGTCCTGATGTTTAGTGCGTGAATAGTGAATTCATTAATATTAGGTGAAAACAGCCTGAAAAACCTAATTTTCGTAAAACTGTCTTTTCGGTAGATTTTCAAAACTTTTTCTAAAAACAAATATTGCCACGAGACTCGACATGGTCGATTATCCATAGTCTATCAGTCTGTAAGGCTACCAAGCGTCATCGGATGCCAGTCCTGGGACTCGTCGGAAATCCGATACAACGCCCGAACCGCAGAAAATCATGGTCTCACTTTATTCCCATTTTGAAGCGAATACTCCGGGCTATCAGAACATGAAAAAAGTCAATAGATTCCTTGTTGAATTTCGAAAAGTGCTAGCTTCATCGCAAAAGCTTAGCCCTTTCCCTGGAGGAAGTGGACGTCTGTTAGCGTTTTACCAAAAGGATTTCATCTTTTCTAGTGCGGAACTTGAAGGTTCTTAATGTTTATGCGCAAGAACTTCTTACCACGATATTTATCTTTTTGCGGGAGAAACTGAGAGTTTCGTATTCACAGACCACAATCAATTGTACAGCGAAAAGAGCAGCCCAATTCCTGGTGGAGAAAGTCATACTTCAATATGGTGTACCAGAACAATTATTAGCAGATTGTGGTAGTCATTTTATGGCAAATGTATTTGAATCAATCGCATCCAGATGTGGTGTCACATCCAACAACACCTCCAAACAATCAACAACCCAAATGGAACCATTCAAGTTGATGTATGGTCGCGATGCCATTCTTCCCTTTGATACACCCAGTCAAATCACAAAATTATCACTGGTCGATGATTATTATTCACAATTGATTAAATTTTTAAAAGAAGCCAAATCAACAGCATGATACAACATCAAGAAACACCAAAATGTATACAAATAAACATATGATAACGGCCGACAAGACCTTAGAAAAATACAACCTAGACCATTGGTATTTCTCAAACAATTGATGGTTAAGAATTTGCTTAAATTTTCACCCAAATATTACGGCCCATTCGAGGTGATACAACAGATCGGTCGTCTAAATTATGAAGTTCAACACGTCAATGACGGTCACTAAGAAAACGTTCACGTATCAAGAATTAGAATTATCATTTGAACCACTCAGTACGGTCATTGCACAAGTACAATATTATAAGGTTCCAGATGGCAGCGACGACCCGACCATGTTGACAATATTATTAAAGAACAAAGTGGCAGATTGTTCCAGATACTGTCAATAGGACTATTACCCATAAACAGAATTTTTTTCTCCATTTTACAATTTTTTTCTTTTAAAGATGAGCGGGACGCTTCATCGAGTGGCGGGGGAAGTGTTAGGTAGCATAAAGGGCGCTTCGAAAAACAGTTTTAGTTTTCACTTTTTTTACCATCTACGCATGTATGATTCGATATGTATTCTTCTCATTGTTTAACATTCTTATATGGTGGGATACTCTTCTCATTGTTTAACATTCTTATATGGTCTGATATTCTCCATATTCTTTAAACATTCTTATATGGTTTGATATTGTGAAATTCTTTGTATGATACGATTTTCTCTTCTTTTCTCTTCCCTTCTTATTTCTCTCTCTAACCTATAAATACGAACTGTTTTCTTTAGTGCAGGAACATTCGGTAGTTATCTGTTTTCTGTTGAATACACATATGGCCATTATCATCTCACACTTCGACAAGCCGATTTTACGTTTCATCGAGCGACGAAAAGTCAAAAACGACTAGTCACTAGTCAGATTTGATGCAGCCAGTCAAACTAGGAATTCGAGACACTTTCTAAAGTATCTATCTCAAGATCGGTGTCCCATTCAAGGACCAGTTCTAACTTCGACTCTCACTCAGAACAAGTTTCGATAACCTATGAAATCGAGTAAGAAGAAGAAAATTTCGCTGTCTTTTAAAAATCAGTAGTTTATATAAAGTAGTACAAACAGGAAAAGAAAAAGGTGAATGAGCGATTTTATGATTTCGACTGGTCAGGAACTGATCGACTAGTTAACGGCGACCAGTCGATGTTGATTGGTTCGACTAGTTAAGAATTCCGACTGGACGGCCAAAATTTCGACATTTCCGACGTGTCGGCATACTAGTCGATTCTGATGTTACGTCCACTTGGGTTAAAACTGAAATATGTAGAAGTGTAGGTTGAAGAGCTTTTTTGAA